TCCAAGTCCCTGACCATTCAGCCAAACCATTGGCTATGGCCCATGAATCAGTATATAATTGCACATCTGGCCATTTCTTCTTCCATGCAAAGTGCACAACCAGGTGCACTCCTTGAAGTTCTGCCCCCTGGGAAGATTTCACTTCACCATTGTCCTTCAGGGATGTCCTAGAAAAGGGCTGTAGTGCTATAGCTGTCCACTTTCAGGTGGTGCCTGCATATCGTGCAGAACCATCTGTGAACCAGGCCCTAGTATTCTCTTCTTCTGTCAAGTGATCGTAGGGAACTCCCCATGAGGCCATCGGTGCAGGCTGGAGGAGAGAAGGCAGGGTGGCAGGAGTGGACACCATGGGCATTTGAGCCACTTCCTCATGTAAATTACTTGTGCTTTCAGGACCTGCTTGAGCCCAAGCACGTATAACCACTTCCATTTGATGATGGAATGCTGCTGTGCACAACCCACTTCATGACTAGATGGGTCAGAAAGCACCCAGTTCATGATAGGCAGTTCAGGTTGCATAGTGACTTGACCCATGGTCAAACGTTCAGTTTCCACCAAAGCCCAGTAACAAGCCAAGAGCTGACTCTCAAAAGTAGTTATCTGCAGAAGATGGCAGGGCCTTGTTCCAAAATCCCAGAGGCCTCTGCTGTGATTGACCTATAAGGGCCTGCCAAAGACTCCAGACAGCATTCCTATCTGCCACTGACACTCGAAACACCATCGGATCTGTTGGGTCATATGGTCAAAATGGCAGAGCAGCTTCCACAGCAGCATGGACCTGTTGCAGAGCCTTCTCCTGTTCTGGACCCCACTGAAAACTAGCAGTCTTTCTAGTCACTCGATAAATGGGCCAGAGTAACACACCCAAATGAGGAATGTAATGCCTCCAAAACCCAAATAAGCCCACTAAGCGTTGTGCCTCTTGCTTGCTTGTAGGAGGTGCCAAATGCAGCAACTTACCTTTCTCCTTAGAAGAAATATCTCAACAGGCCCCACACCACTGGACCCCTAGAAATTTTACTGAGGTAGAAGATCTCTGAATATTAGTCAGATTTATTTCCCATCCTCTGCCATGCAAATGTCTTACCAATAATTCCAGTGTGTTTGCTATTTCTTCCTCACTGGATCCAGTCAGCATAATGTCATTAATGTGGGAGACCAGTGTGGTATCTTGTAGAAGTGAAAAGCAATCAAAGTCTCTCCAAATAAGATCATGACACAAGCCAGAGAGTTGATATACCCCTGACGTAGGACAATAAAGGTATATTGAAAGCAAATTGCTTCTGGTGGGCCTTATGGTCAGGAGTGGAGAAAAAGTCATTTGCCAAGTCAGTGGCTGAATGCCAGGTACCAGGAGATGTGTTAATTTGCTCAAGCAATGAAACCACATCTGGTACAGCAGCTGCGGCTGGAGCTACCTCTTGGTTAAGCTTGTGATAATCCACTGTCATTCTCAAAGATCCATCTGTCTTCTGCATAGGCCAAATGGGAGAGTTGCACGGGGATGTGGTGGGAATCACCACCCCTAAGTCTTTCAAGTTCTTGATGGTGGCACTAATTTCTGCAGTCCCTCCAGAGATGCGATATTGTTTTTGACTTACTGTTTTTCTAGGTAGAGGCAGCTCTAATGGCTTCCTTTTGGCCTTTCCCACCATAATGGCACTCACCCTGACAGCCAGGGAGCCAATGTGGGGATTCTGCCAGCTGCTAAGTATGTCTATGTCAATTATTCATTCTGGCATTGGGGAAATGACCACAGGATGAGTCTGGGGCCCATTGGACCCACTGTAAGTCAGACCTGAGTTAAAACTCCATTAATTATATCACCTCCATAAGCCCATACCTCAACTGGAGGACTACAGTGACATTTTGGGTCCCCTGGAATCAACATCAGCTCAGAAACAGTATCCAGTAGTCCCCAGAATGTCTGATCATTTCACTTTTCGCAGTACACAGTTGCCCTGGTGAAAGGCCGAAGGTCTTCTTGAGGAAGAATGGAAGAAAGACTAACTGCATACATTGTCAGTAATGTAGTGGGGTCTTTCCTCTAGGGGACCCAGCCTCTCCTTCATGCAAGGGGTTCTGGGTCTATAAACTGGCTCAAGTCTGACAATTGATTGAGGAGCTATGATCCTCTGTTTTTATAATTCAAATTAGTCTTTTATCCATCCATCCTAGACGTTTTCTGCTTACATAAATTAGAAAACTCAAGCAGTTATTTTCAAGTGTCTCACACCTCCTCATGGGTCCTACTCTCAACCTCACCTCTAGGGGCCCACTGGGACTTTAGTCTAATTATGGGTCTAGAAGCAAACAGGGGTGTTAGGGGTGGCTCCTGAGGAGAATCAGCATTATCTTGCCTGGCAAGTGCCTCAGGGGAGGCCATCACTGTTGCCTTAGGCAGCGCAAGGTTTATCTCCTCAGACGAAAGCTGAAAGGCTGATGGCAGCATGGTTCGGAGGGGGGCATGTTGCCAGTGCTGGGGATGGGGAAGCTGTTTCTTCTGGTAAAAAAGGTTCATGAGAGTTTATAAACCCAGTGTTCCCAGCTTCATCAGGGTCCTCCCACACAGCCCCATTCCAAGTTGCAGGGTCCCATTCTTTTCCAATCAATGCCCTCACTTTAACAGTAGACACCTGGCGAGGCGGTGCATGCACCTTTCATTGCAGGTCAGACACTCATGTGATAAGAGCTTGTGTCTGTTTATACACAATTTCTCCTCTTTCCCAACAGGAGGTAAGACTCTCAGGGCAATCTTAGCAGGTTTGAGGCTCAGTATCTGCTTCTGAAGCCAGGAGACAGAATCCCTGAGTTCATTTTCTTTCATCACATTGTCCACAGAACTTACGAACAACCAACCAGCTTCATTATGTTCCTTGGTTCTCCACATATGGTCAGGGGTATTATGTACAGAGTCACTAAACTCATTGCCTCTCACAGGTGAAGATTCAGGAATGTCAAATGCATTCATTTTATGTAACTAAACAGTTTACACCAAGGATTATGAGTGTTCTCCACACTGTTAGAAGTAGAGTCCTTAGCATTTTGGAGTCTAATCATATTAAGCAGCCAACTCCAGTAACCCCAAAACCAATGAAAGAACTCCATCCTTAATATTCTGTTCCTCTAGGTTTCACTACAGGGACAGAATAATAGAATAAATACATATATAAAGGGGAGTTATTAAACATTAACTCATAGTATCACAAGGTCCCACAATAGAACATGGGACCTGCAGGCTGAGGAACAAGGAGACCCAGTCTGAGTTCCAAAACTGAAGAACTTGGAGTCCGATGTTCGAGGGCAGGAAACATCCAGCACGGGAGAAAAACGTAGGCTGGGAGGCTAGGCCAGTCTTGCCATTTCATGTTTTTCTGCCTGCTTTATATTCGCAGGCAGCTGATTAGCTGGTGCCCATCCAGATTGAGGGTGGGTCTGCCTTTCCCAGCCCACTGACTCAAATGTTAATCTCCTTTGGTAACACCTTCACAAACATACCTAGGATCAGTACTCTGTATCTTTCAATCCAATAAAGTTGCCACTCAGTTTTAACCATCACAATGTTTATTCATTTTTCATGTGTAGGCATTGCCAGCTGATTGTGACTGTCGTTTTAAAAAACATACTATACATTTAATGCAGAAGGCCACATCTTTCTTCTGCTTTTTCTCAACACTTTTATAAAGAAGGTAGAAAATTAATTTTTCCCATTCGAAACGTCAGTTTCTTCCGCTAGAATGTTTGGATACACTGCAGAATTTAATCCTTTTAACTATATTACTTATCATTTTTGTTTTCATAATTTTAATGTTTTCAAAGATTTCCTTAGTTTTAGAATGGCCTGTTTTCATCTCATTGAAAATATTAGCCTCTGAAAACAATAGAATTTACAAGTTACTGTTCTCATTCTCAGGAAGGAGCCATGAGGGGAAACTATCATTTCCTTTTGCTGTGCCCCCCTTCCCACTCCATCACTGAAAAGTAAAAAGAAATTCATAATTGGGGCTTGGAATACTCCATCTGTTCTGAGATCACTAAGTTCTGTTTCTCTCAAGGGTTCTAAATCATACTCCATTAGTCTGCTTCCAAATCTCAGCCCTGAGACTGGAGACCCCAAAATGGTAATACCACTGAGAAAGTAATTGCAGATAAATGATTTATTTTTTCCTGGTCTAATAAAACCATGAAGGTTGAATACTAAAATTCTTAAAGCACTAAACCAAAGCTGTAAAATAACTAAAGAAATAATGGGCAACTTATAAAAGAGCAAAAACTAGAGAAGCATAAGCAGTACATGAAGTTAAAGCTGAAAAGGACTTTAAACATAATCCAGTAATCAAATTTCACAGATTAAGTAAACTGAGTCTTAAAGCTAAAGTGACACAGTCAGAAATATTCAGCTATTTAAGGCATCTCGAGATTTGTCCGAGGTTCTCCCCACTGTACCCACTGGTGCTCTCAGTGGATTTAGTGCTGTATTTCTTAAAGTTTGTTCTTCTGTGAGCACTGGTCCCATAAACAGGCTCTAAACCCTAAAAAGTCCACTGGCATTTTAAAGGCCGCAAGGAATATTGCAGCAAGACAAGCTCTGTTGTTTTGCTCAATCCAGTGTTTCCCAAACTTACTTGAGATCTGGACCGTTCTTCTTGCAGCACCTATGAACACCTATAGAGGTGTTCTGGAAAACCTTCTGGGTTAAGGTAGATCTTGCAGCATGTGGAAGGTAAGTGAGGCGTTGGTAGAATATGAGATATTTAACATGGGAATAACTACAATTTTTATTCAGAAAGAAGAAAGAGGAAGATGCAGGACTAGAGACTTATTTCTTAATGTCAGTAGGAAAATAGTATTATTAGGCAAAAATATCTTATGGTTTAAAACTAATGCTAAAAGGGATTGGTGGTTGTTAGACTGATTTCCTACGACTACTGTTATTAACATCAACTTTATTAGATTCAGAATGCTTGATTAAGTCGTTTTACCTTCTGTTTGTTTTCCAGGACACTGTAATTTATGATCGACTGGCAGAGACTTCAAAATACAAAGAAATTACCCTAAAACATTTAGAGCAGTTTGCTACAGAAGGTAAGTGTCATTCGGCAATAAAGCATGATTAAAATAAAAAGAAATCATATACTTCTGATAGCTTTCAGGATCACTATTATTAGACTTAGAGATTCCTAAAGTAAGATACCAGTTGTTGGCAATTTATGTTTTACTATATGCTTTTCCCATCCTGTATTTTTATTTTACTTTCCTAAAACTATATTTATTAAAATTTTGAGCGACTTTGTTCCCACCATTTAGATGGTAGGGCCTATAAATGTTTTACTTTTAGCGTGGATCATATGTACTTTTTAAATATTTCACTTTGTATCTGAAGCAATTCATTAGAGAAATAAGCAAGACTAAAAAAAATTCTAATCTGAATAAGAAAGAAATAAACCTCTAAACTATTAAAATAGCTATTCAATTTAGTTTCAACTCAAAACTTTTTATTAAAAACTTATGTAACTATTAAAATTGCTTTTCAGTTTATTACAACTCAAGACTTTCTTAGAGAGACCCTACCACATGCCAGGCTCTGTGTGAGGCCTGAGAATCCAAAATGGGATAAACAAGCTTATCCCTGTCTGTCTGTCTGTCTTCCTGAAATATATTATGTGCAAGGCAAATCAGTATATAGTCTAGAGAGATGATCTAGGTTAGATGAAAGGAAGTGAGGATTGTTAAACATGACAGTCAATTACTACAAGAATCTGTAGAGTCTTGTCTCATACTGGACAGTGGTGGTTATCACTGTATCTAAATCTCCAGTCTCAGTTTTCACTCCTGTCTGTTTCAGCTGGAACTGCTGCCAGTGGCACCAAACTGACCTGATCAAATACTTTTTCCTGTTAACTGTGGCGGAGAAAAGATAGGAATATTTTTTAAAACACTAGGCGAAAACAAAAGCCAAAACAAACGAAAAAGATGGCTTTTAAAAAAAGCCTGTGTATAGTTCTTCAAAATGTAAACGCATGGAAATATATATATTCATAGAATTCAGATTCCTTAAGGCCCAGCCTCAGACCTTGGCACGTACAACCTACCCAGCATACGACACAGGTTGTTTTTGTTTTGGAGAAGTGGGGGCACCTTTCTCCTCTCCAGTTGTGATGTTAAAGATACTAAACTCTTAGGTTTTAATGGCTTGGCCCCCATCTCCACCCCATTCTTTCTGGCCCTGGGCTGGATGACACTTCTCCCCATGACTGCCCTCCAGTGAGTTTTCCAGCCAAGTTTTCAAGAGAGAAAAACATGTCCTAAAATGGCCGCAAATATTTAAGTTCCACTCTCTGTGATCTGGCAATAGACAATCCTTTCTTGGAAGGTAGAGTTCTCTGGGTACTTTGTATGTTCCTTGCTTCTTACTTCTGACCTATTCCCTTAGACACGTTTTGTCTTGAGATCACTAAGCCTAGCATTTGGTCCTAGTCATTTTAAGAGTTAAATGACCTAGAGTGGGTGCATTGTCTTCTTGCGAACCTAGATAACTGCTTCCTTGAGTAGCTGACAAGTGCTGTGGCCTCTCCCTTCTTTCAATCCATCTACTTTATTTCTGGCTGAGAGAGAAGTGAGTTATGAAATTGGCAGGCAGCAAGCACAGAGGGTGGGTGACTTTAAATATCAGCTCTGACTGTTTTCCCGGGGTGTGTCTGCTGGCAGTTCTTTTTTGCCACTATCCCGCAATTATACTTAGACTTTTAAACTACAGATTTATGATGACAAAGAGCAGTAATAAGTGTAGTCATATATCCTAGTAAGAGGAAGGTGGCTCTCCCAGTAGACCTCACCGGGGTCTCCTTCCTTTGCACACATCTGTGAGGCCACTATAATAAGTCAGCCAGTATGCTTGGTACTGAGTTACTCTGAAGAACTCTGGTCCCTGCTTTCCAAGTGCTGTAATAGAGGAGACATACAAGAAAAACTGTAAAACATTGTCACTCACGCCATAGGAGTATTTCTGCCTTTGGCATCTGGATGAGAGGAGGGTGCATCAAACAGATGATTTTCGGAACTGAGTCTTAAAGTGTTTGCAAGGCAGACAGTGGGCAGTCATTGGGGAATGCAGAATGGAGAAAAAGTGACCAGCAAGAGCAAAGACCCCTGTATGTGGGAAGTGAATGGCAGGGAATGAGAGTGAAGCCACCTGATGAAACATGAATAAACCATACTTTGGGGCTTAAATTTTGTCCTGGGGAAAAATTGGAAGATTCCAAGCAAAAGAATTACTTGATAAGATTAGGATTTTAGAAATGCCACACTAGGCATGGAAGATGGATTAAAAGGGTTGGGAATTAGAAGCAAGCTACCAATTTTAAAGACCAGGGGAACATTAATCTATGTTTCATACTAAAGTTTTGTCATAATTTAATTGGACTTCAGTATGTTGTTTGAATGGAATCACTTTTTTCAAAATGCGACTTAGTTAAATAAAAACAGAAATCTCAGACTTCTGAATAAAATTTTCTTTGGTGTGTTGGGGTGATGTATGCTACCTTTTTCAGGGTTAAGAACTTTATGTTTTGCTGTGGCTGAGATTTCAGAGAGTGACTTTCAGGAGTGGCGAGCAGTCTATCAGCGAGCATCTACATCTGTGCAGAACAGGCTGCTCAAACTCGAAGAGAGTTATGAGTTGATTGAAAAGGTATGTAGATGATTCTATTGATCATACAGAGGGTTTGTTTCCAGAGAGTTTCAATCTTTATTCAAGGAACCAATGGAATAAAAATCAAAATATCTTGACATAACATTTACTATTGAATATCTTCTTGTCATCTAAGCATTAAGAAATCTTAATATGCATTAAAATGTTGCTGAGAAGCCTTTGGGGTTAGATATTACTTTGTATAGATCTTCACTCTTTTCACAATTTTGGATCAAGTTTTGGCCAGTCTAGTAATCTCCTTGCCAATGTATTCCTGTTTCTGGATCACTGAGGATATGGAACATGCCCCCCCACACACATGTGCAAATTACATAGATGTACATGTGTACTCTGACTTAATAAATACATATAATATGTAATGTAAAATAGCAATCACACAGCTTGCATAGCTGATCATAATATATGAGAGTAATACAGTGCTGTCACTTGGCCAGTCATTATGACAAACATATACCTGTATTCTTTCTGTCACAGCAGTAAATATCTTCATTTTGTAGATAAAGAAACCAAGACTATTAAGCCAGAAAGTGATGATGGATATATTATGATTGATGCTATATAAACAGGAAGAATCTTGCTTCCTTAATTAAGAATAGGAAACATTTTTATGTAGCACTTGATGTGTGCCAGGTGCTTTTTCTAGCACTTTCATCTATTCATCTATTCAGTCCTCACAACAGCCCTTTGAGGTACTAATTATTCCTATCTTATCGACGAAGAATCCAAGGTAACAGTAAGAGTAAGTAAGTTAGCTGAGATTACACAGCTCCCAGTAGTGGCAGCCAGAATCGTCACTCTTCCTCCAGTGTTCGTGCTCTGAATCACTCAAGCATCTTCATTCTATAACCTCTAGCTTGCCATTAAATAACTCTTCAATTTCATTCATGTTTGTATTGCATAGAATCAAACTAGCCTGTCCACAGCAGTTTACTTGATCTTTTCTCCGGGTAAGTAAAGGCTGATATTGTGTTCTTCTTTCCTTTCTGTTAAACTGTGTATTTCCTTGTGCTTCCTGTCTTGAAAGGTAGCTGGTGCCACCAGTACCCCCCACCGGACTGTTTCCCACCCCTGCCCTTCACTCCTCCATATTCTCTTTAAGTAATATGGGGGGATGCCACGTTCTAGCTGCAGATGGTTTTCTTTATTGTACAAGTTTGCCATATGGAACTCGAGATGTTGGTCTTCTATCTCCTCAACACATTATCACTTTTTACGGAAGATGACGGTTTCTCATATAGCCTTTATATTTTGTAAGGGGAATATATCTAAATATAAATATAAGATCACATATATCATACCTGTATAGATAGATACAGATAGATATGTAGGTATATCTAGATATCTCCTCCTTATATTTGAACTTTTTATTCTGCTTATTTATAAGAAGACGTGATAGCATGTGTGGTGTCTTCCAGTGTGATACTCCCACCCTAAATTCTATAAGTGTACACACAGCAGGGGGCTTGTTATCAATTGACTTATTTCAGTGTGTCTCGCTCTCTTCTATCTCCCCCACTCCTTCCCTCAACACTCCCTCCCTCCACCTTTTCTCTCTTCACTTCCTAATGTATTTATATATGATTATGTCTTTGGAGTATTTATGTAGTGAAATAAAATAATCTGAGGCCGTAATCATAATGTCTTTCAATCTGCCCAACTGAAGTCACGTATCTTAAAGCATTAGTGGTATTGATTTTTAATCTTTGCTTCTCTTACTGTTTTAAGAAATAATTTAAAAAATCCTGTTTGGAAGTGATTTTGTTCTTGTCTCTGAATATAAGGAAGGTTGCCTCCCATCCTTATGAGACAGAATTAATAGGTAATAAGTCAGAATACAAAATATATTTGAAAATTGATTCCAAGCATATTAAATTGTTTCCACTTGAAGCACAACTTCAGTTCTAGAGTTGAATGTTTAATGTACCTGATATCCTTACTCTTTGGATGCCCTAGAGTTTTTTTATAGATTAGATTTTCTAGGTTTAACAACTTTGTTTCTTGTTCTTTTAGTATTTGAGTAAAAGCCTTGTGACTTACAGCTTTTAACTGAAATAGATGTTCAACGTTTTCCCAGCAGATGGCAATCATGAGCTACATTAAAATTTAAGTTGCCTTAGGTAATCCATTGAGAGTGAGCGTGTGTGTGTGTAGACACATATACACACATCTATATATGTATCTATATATGCATCTATATAAACTACTTATACTTTACAGATAACAGAAACCTCCCCTATGACTGCTTTTCACCTAAAATCAATGAAAATGGGTATTTACAAGTAATTTGTCTTTACTTCATAATAAGCCATGCTCTCTGTTGTTGAAAATCTAAGATCCAGAAAGGTTAAGAGATTGGGTCATTTACTCAGCCAACCCGCCCCAAATGAAGATGGATTCTGTGTCCATCTCTACTCCTAAAACTGGAGTTTCATTCGGTGATCCATTTAAATGACTTTCATCAAGCAGTTCATGTTTACTAGGTGTTGGGGATCCACAGGCAAATGAGGAAAACTCGCCTGTGGCCTTCCAGATACCACGGTCTGCGCAAATTCCCTTAATGAAGAAATCTGAAGGAACCCCAAAAGGTGACCCACAAACAATCCAAAGGAAGCTTTTGGAGAGGTGGTAATTTTTGAAATGGGCCTCCAATGATTATTTTGCCAATTAGAGGAGAGCAAACATCTTTTTAGGGAAAAAGAATAGACAAAACAGACCAGATGCCATGACTCATACCTGCAATCCCAGTACTTTGGGAGGCGAAGGTGGGAGGATCACTGAGGCCAGGAGTTTGAGACCAGCCTGGGCAAACATAAGGGGAGAGGCTGTCTCTACAAATAATTTTTAAAAATTAGCTGGATGTGGTGGTGTGCACCTGTGTTCCCAGCTACTCAGGAGGCCAGGGCAGAGAGGATTGCCTAAGTCTGGGAGGCCGAGGCTGCAGTGACCTGTGAAAGTGCTGCTGCACTCCTGCCTGGGTGACAGCAAGACCCTGTCTCAAGGGAAAAAAAAAAAAAAAAAATAAAGCAGGAAACTCTGTGACCCAGCTGTTTTTTTTTTTTTTTTTTTTTTAAGTGTTTCTGTTAATCCTGATCATAGAAGGACTGTAGGATTTTTAATATAGAGAGCCAGGATTATATCACTACTTTCTTGGTCTGAGCTTCTATTCTTTGTTAAAATCAGCTGGGATGAGTGTTCAGAAGTTGTAATTTACTGCCCTTAAAACCACTCTAGTAAGGCAAGTTTCAGCACATCAGACCACAGATTGCTCCAGCATGTTACCCTGGCTTTAAATTGAGCAAATATAGTCCTAGGGTTCACCCATCGTCTTCTTCTTTACCTCCTTTAACTGAGACATGCTGTTTATTTACGTAAGCTGTTTTTTATGTGATTGGAATCCACTTTTATATAGACGATAATACTGGACTTGGTATGTCAGACAGTGAATTTTTAAACTGTGAGGGTCGTTTTCACATCGTTTTTTTTTAAGAACAGAATTTTCCAAACAAAACATTGCCGGAATCATAATATATATAACTGATGAAAGCAGGGCTGCTTTGGCTAGAGTGGAAGCGTAGAGGAGATCCACACTGGCTTTCCCCTCCACCTCTACCTTGCCCTCGTGGGTGCCCCATGAGGGGCTTGTTGTGACTAAGGATCCACTAAACAGTTTGAAAGCCATATATTATATTTATGTGTGGGCTTTTTAGAAAATGAATTCTTCAGAAGATCAGAACGTCATTGTGCTCATATGCAAGATGTTTCTGAACATATATGAATTGAAATGAAATGTCATTGACACATTAATGACAGTATTACATTAACGACATTCAAAATATAAAAGATTTATAAAGTTCTTCCTAAAATATTATATTACAAAATAAGTGAAAATGTTACAATAGAATTAAGGTAGCAATTTTAAACCCTGCAGTCTCCCTCCTTTCCCTCCAGTGTTCGTTCAAACTAGTAATTCAGTTTTTAAAATTAAGTTAAATCCTTACTCCTTTGGGTACTATAACACCTAGCATAAGCTGAAAAAAAAATCCACATAGACCAAAAGTATACAAGAAGGCATTTGTCTTTTGGTCATGATGCTTAGTTATTCAGGTATGTTACTACACAGCACACTGAGTGCTAGAATGCACTGCCTTCACTCCTGGGGCACACTGCAGGAAGGAGGACAGGGGAAGTTTGAAAAAGTCCAGCAGGCATTGTTATCCCTATTGACAGTCATTGTGAGATGAGAGGATTTGGGACTTTTAAATCTATCTATAAAATATCATTATCAGCTCTACTCCAACATTGTTCTGTTTGAGCTCCAACATTTGCATTCATTTGGTAAACTTTTCAGGATATTTTTAAAAATTTTAATGCTGAGAGTTGTTTCACGAATCAGTTGCCAACACATCTTTTTTGTCTGTTTTTCTTTTGCTGTTACTAAATAAAGAGGTGACGTTGATTGCTAGGAAGGCTTAACTTGTTCAGGAATAAGGAAGTTGATATAATTAAAATGCAAATGGGTTTATAAGAATCATATCAGATACTTCAGTTGTCTTGACCCACTTTGAGAAGGAGAATTGCAGTCTCATTCTTTCAGACAACAAATTTGACCTGTTTTATCTTAACCTCATTCTTTTGAAAGGTAGCCAACATATTTGGATTCATAATTTTAGATTGGGAAACCATTTACAGTATCAGCCTATATTTTTTTTAAATCAGATTTTTTTTTTTTCTTTTTTTTTTTCGAGACAGAGTCTCACTCTGTTGCCCAGGCTGGAGTGCGGTGGTACAATCTCGGCTCACTGCAACCTCAGTCTCCCAGGTTCAAGCAATTCTCCTGCCTCAGCCTCCCAAGTAGCTAGGATTACAGGCATGTGCCACCACACCTGACCAATTTTTTGTGTTTTTAGTAGAGATGCAGTTTCATCGTGTTAGCCAGAATGGTCTCGATCTCCTGACTTCGTGATCCACACACCTCAGGTTCCCAAAGTGCTGGGAGTAGAGGCGTAAGCCAGAAGCCACCATGCCTGACCCAAATCAGATTTTTTTTAATTAAGTTAAAATTTTGTGTTTTCTCAAGAAGAATTGTAAATAACAGAATTATTATAAAGTTTTATCTTTCATTGGCAGGGATTTCTCTGAAATTTCTCACCTTTGATCTGTCACTTTAATATATCAAGAGCCAGGGTGGTACTACTTCTTTTTGGTCTGAGCTCCTATTCTTTGTTAAAATTTGTTTACTTTTATTCTAACATATTTCTAAGACACATAAATTATGTTTTGCCTCATATTCATACTATGCTACTGGATTCCTTTGGAAATTAATAGTACAGAAGTCTCCGGTCTTTCTTATTTTATAATTAAACCACTGTTTGAGATAAAAAGGCATGCCTTCCTGGAATACATAATTTTTTGAAAATCTTTAGTATTCATTTGTTTCAATAGAAAAATACAGCTATATCTTTAGTACTGCATATATTACCTACTAATAATTTCTGTGTTTCTAAAAGCAAATTACTTATCTTGAACATTACAGAAAACAATGTAAGCTATAATACCTGTCTAGATTCATCACTGATTCAAGCGGTATTTTTCTTGTGATAAGATTTTTCTTTCTCTCTTATTATGATGCATGGATTGGGAAATTTTTTTTTAAAAGGAAAGCTTATCCGATGCTTTTATCTGTGCAATTTTTTCTAAAATAGTTTATGGGTTAGAGGATCATTTTTACGCTTAAGAGTAAACTCAGAACGCTGTAATTCTGCTATCAAGCTTTTATTTGATCAGATAGCAATGTTGTGTTTTATGTGCATTTTGTAGTTTGTGATTGATGTATGTCATCCACTAGATTGAAGCTTCATGAAAGCAGGCACTGTGTTTATCATATTTATCACTGTGTCCCCAGTGCTTGACTGACGAGCCTATATTAACCACTCATTTGATGAATAAATTAGTTATTCTTTTAAATAATTTATTCAGAAGTTCGAGCTTAATAAGGGCTTACTTAATGAAAGTATACCCCCTATTAACAAATCTAGCTCATGTTTTCCATGCACTGAAGGCACTGGTATCAAATGTGCTATCACTAAGGATTAATTTAAGGATATGTTAGAAAAGAAGTCAGTAATTTTACAGAAGGCATTCTTTAGAAGAATATACTCATTCCTTTATAAAACCTGTCTTCAAAGTTACTTAATACATAAATGTGAGAAAATCATGGTTGGAAAGATTCAGCAACAAATATCTGAGCACCGCTGCATGACAGGCTCTGTTCTAGGCTCTGGGGCTCAGCAAGGAGAGGATAGAAGAATTTCTGCCTTTTGTTTCAGTGGTGGGAGATAAGTAGTGAACCTGTAAACTAAAACAATATAATTCCAGACAGGCTTTAGTGCCGTGGGCACTGAGATAAGGAACCAAGATAGGACAGTGAGGTAGTGATCCTTTTTTACATCATTTCCTTTACCCCTCCCCAAAACGTGATTGGTATTTTGGGGATGGTTAAAGAGTCCCTTGATGTGGCGTAATATAGATCAACCGTTACACTCAGTATGACTAAACAACAATTTAGCACCCTTTGCAACAAATGGCAACAAATGGTTTAGAGGATTCCTAGAGAAATATAAAACTTAATGGAAAACAGGACTTTTCTTGAACATTCATGACTGCCAAGTTCACAGTAACTTCTGTATTAGAATGGAATGCTTTTTCAGATTAAACTACCACATCTATTCATAGTAGCTGCACATATCACTTTCATTTGTGCTAAAAACTAAATGAAAATTTACATGATGTACGGGTGATTTCGTGGTTTAAAATTCCAGTAGTTTCCTGTTCTACTATTTGCTTAAGAACATTTGTAGTTAGCTCATCTAACAAGACCTGCCACTTTCTGAGCATTTACTAAGCTCTACGTTTTCCACCATTTACCCTGATTATTTAGTCGGAGGGCCTCTAAAGTGAGACACAACATGATCCATTGGGGTGAGCAATAAAATGTTAGAACTTCTGTTTGTTTTATCTCATCTTTTTTATAATTTGCTTTTGCATTTTATAGCAGGCATAATTTACTAATTTTAACAATGTTTTAGAAAAATGTAACTGCCATAAGTACATATTCAGTATTTTTTCCTAATATACTCAGAAATGTTTGCAATCACTGATGTAATTTCATCTGCAGAACATCCTTATTAAATCTAAGTTATTACACTTAATCTTGATGATGGGAAAGTTGATTCTTAGGTAAGTTACTTGCTGAGGGACCCATATCCGGTGGTTGGCAGAGCAGAGATGCAAATCCCTGTTCTGTCTTAATTCCAAATTCCATGTTAATAATCTGTAAGTTATGTTATGTCGCCAACTTGCTTTAGAAGAAAGCAAGAATGTGTACAAAATAGTGGAGACCTGAAAGATAAAATGAATTCAATTAATCAGTTGTGCAGTTGTGTAATCACTGGATCAGCACTCAGGGTGGGAAGTGGGAGTCATCGGCCTGTCTCGGACTCAGCTGCTTAGTGAGGCGGCCTCCACATACTCTATGTACTGTATTCCACTTTCCTTGAAAATAGGATGGAAATATGTTTTTCATGATTTTCCCTCAACTGGCCTTTAGAATCTTCTTATTTAAAGTACTTAAGATTTCCTGAGATCCCTAATTCCATGCTCCTCCTTTCTGGAATGATAGATGCCTGCTTATGAATGCTTTGTGGTAGATTTTTCCACCCTGGGTATTGTTGTCTTCTCACTCAGATAAGATGGATGTGTTGTTTTGTAAGCTACACCCAATCACCTCTCTAATCCTGATTCCTTTCAGCTGGCTGTGTGAATTCTGGTCTTATAACTAAGCCCTTGGCTTTGTGAGTTCAAATGTGATTTCTGTGGTTTGAAAAACACCAAGTTAAAATCTATTTCTTGGCCTTAGAAAAATTAACCAGTTGAATGATTTCTCCAGAAGCAGGCAAAGGAACCATTCCAATGGTTTAGTGACTTCATGCTCTTAGTCTTAGTACTGTAGGCCAGATTAAAGAGAAAGGAAAAAAGGTGGAAAGTCTCTTTTTAAAACAAGGATGATACCCAACAGAGAGGAGCCCAGCAGTCTCTGAGAACCAGGGTTGTAGAATGGCTCTGAGAATCCCACAGCACATCCCAATTCCAGAGTTACCATATTTTAAACCTCAAGAGAATGATGACTGCAGTGGCCTCTTAACTGGTCATACAGCCTTTTTTTCCCCCTAATCCATCCCCAGACAGCTACTAGTAACCTTTCTGAAATGTAAATTTGATCCTGTCTCTCCTCTTCTAAAATTCACCAGGTGTCCCTTGGCTTTGGAATTGTCAGCATAATGCACAGACCTTTCCATTTCCATTTCCTGCTGGCTTTTCCAGCTTCATCTTCCTCAGTGCCACACCTCACTTCATCTGTCATTTCCATACTGACTAAGTGGCAACTTCTCAAACGTTATGTGTCTTTTCATACCTCTGTCTTCGTACATGCAATTTCTTCGGTTTGGAATTACCTCCCTCATCCTTCCCCACCTGTCCCCACTGCTTGGCTAAATCTTAATCCACTGTTTAGGGTTTAAAATCAAGTGTCACCTCGTGTTGGACAGATTTTTTTTGAGCCATCAAGACTAGAAAGATGCCTCATCCCTGTGTTTATCCTTTGTACTTACATAAGAATACATATATAGCATGTAACATACAATGTGTATCACATTTTTTAAGATAGGAGATAACATATAACGTGATTCTCCTAGGGGAGCACTATTTCTCTCTGATGGTAATCCTGTATTATAGTTTAAAGGCTTTGTAGTTTGAAACTGCAAGGAAAAGCAAGAGAGCTGGCACCTGAGGCACTAAGGCCAGGCTAAGGGAGAATGGTAGGAGTTGGACATAGAAATGTCTACAGTGATCAAACAAGATGGAGCCAGGTACAAAGATGGGATGCTTAGAAGCATTCTACATCAGGGGTTACAAACTCCAGCCCAAGGGCTAGATCCACCCACTGCCTATTTTTGTAAATAAAGCTTTGTTGGAACACAGCTACATCAATTTGTTTACCTGTTGTCTTTAGCTGTTTTCATGCTACCACAGCAGAATTAACTAGGTGCAACACAGAATATATGGCCCTCAAACTCTAAAATACTCACCATCTGTCCTTTTACAGAGAAAGCTTGTCAACCCTGCTTTAGATGAGCAGTTCTCATAGGTTGTCAGATCAGCAGCTTTGCAACCACTGCACATTCCAGGTTCACCATAGAGCTATTCAGCAAGGAATTCTGGATGTGGGGCCCAGCAATCTGTGTTAATAAGCTGCTCAGGTGATTCTGAAAAATTAAGGTTTGAAAAGCACCATCTAGATTTCTGGCCTGGTGGCTAATTACCTGGGACTTGATGACAACCAGGCAGTCAGGATTTAGGAGAAACACCAGTAAGGCAAGGAGGTACACTTAGAAAACAAGGCAGCCAGGAATCCAAGGAGAGTTTCTAGTGAAGCTTTCTGAAATATAAATTTCATACAGGTAGGAACTCACTATTGTATGCCCAGCACCTTGCCCAGAGGTACCTGCTTAGTGTATATTTGTGAATGAATGCAGGCATGCATGTGTGCTTGTAAAGGAGCTAATCCCGAAATGTGATTCTGGGGCCTGCAGGTAAAAATAGAGAAATAGGTACACCTGACCAAGGTGACTCAGAGCTGAGGCTGAAACCCACTCATAGAAATAAAGTATTATTGAAGACCAAGAACAGACACAGAAGTTTAAAAGCCTGATGATTTGAACAAAATTCTAATTTTCATCTAATCTCAGTTTTACCTCCCATTTGCTTCCTTGGGTATGTATTAGTTCTTGATGTTTTGTTCTTATGGTCATAGCTCAGCTCCACCTCTAGTTGACCTTAGACAATTTACTCAACCTCCCCAAAGCTAGTAACTGAATTCATAAATGTAAATCACTTAGCAGTGCCTGGTACATTTTTTCTATTCATGAAATTCGAGTTTCCTCTTCAACATTCCTAGTCATAATCTTATTTCATATGGAAATAAATGGTACTAAATGTTACTAGTGTGTATCCACATTTACTCCAGTGGTACTTTTGCTTAACAATATTACTGTCTTCAAGGAAATTTCTGCCAAATAGCCCATGTTGTAATCTGAAGCCTAGGTTGATACGAGTTTGATTATTATACTTTTCTCATTTAGGGGCATATCACAAACTTGTTAAAAATATGACTTCATATAAGCACTGACAGAATATTTGCTAATTTGGAAATAGGTCACTTTGAGGTTCTATTATTTAGCAAAATATACATGTATTGGGGAAAAACGATAATTTCTAAATCTATCATAATACATTTTACCAGACTCTACATGAAGCTTTCTGTCCTCAGAGTAGAGATGTTACATTTAGTGTCTTTTTAAAAATTATGCATACATTAGGAACATCTGAAAGAGAAAATAAGATTACTGGAGAATTTACTAGGTGAATAAATATTATCTTAAGATTTTTTCAGTGATAACTAAATCTATATAATGTCAAAGAGTCATCAATCTCAAGCCTTTATAACATTTGGCATGGTGACATTTAGAAAGCAAAATTAGTGTTTGGAGTTTTTTAATTCCATAAATGCCATGGGAATTCTATCACGTTTCAACACTTGCTGAATATCTAATTCCCCTAGTGCCCATTAGTGGCCATCCGTGTAAGGTAATACATTTTTGGGATGAAATTGATTACGGCCTAAACACTCTTGTGTTATGATCGGGAAAAGCATGCAAAGTTCAAATCTTTTTTTCTGATGATTATTATATAGCTAACAATATTAATTTCCAAAAGCAGAACAGCCCATCACTCAAGATTCTAATCTTACCATAAATGATACCAGGGTAAAAAGGAAAGGAGTCCGCAGAGCCTCGTGCTAAAATTAATAAGTGCTGTTCTCAAGGAGCTCTTAGAATAAAGGGAAAATCGACACACTTTTGGAGCAAAGTGTTTCCCTCATAGGCATCAACGTAGACCCATTACAATTTAGCTGAATATTCAGAAATGTTTTATTACTCTTCTTAAGGATTCATGTTATCGTCACCACCAACACACTCCACGTTAACCTATTTGTAACTTTTCTCAGCATACCTGGCTGGCCCTACACCTCTGATCCTTTATGTTATTTGTGCCTGCTTTGAAAATGTTACTATTACCTGTGCAAAGCTAGATGCTTTTCATCTTTCAAATATGATTTCAATGCAATCTCTCCAGTGAAGTCATTCTATTTTTATAGGTACATGAGTGGAAATATATAATATATTGGTATACTTTCTGAGCTCATTTTTCCCCTTAGGGGATAGAAAATATACAAATATATTCATTTATATATTTCTAATGAATGTGTTCATATCTTGGCTCCCACATTATCTAGTTACCCCAGTGTTCCAAAAAATATTTTTGCAGGAAATGTTGAGGGCTTATATTAGTAAACTGTCCCCAGGATCACTAAAGAAAATATTGTCTTGCATTGGGTAAAATACTTAAAATTTGAACACAGAAATATCCTGATCTTGACTGGGATGTGAGCCAGAATGATTTAACTGCAAATGCCCTAAAAGTAGCTGAAGAATTGGTAGAATCATTGTGTAAACATTTAAATTCAGCAATTGTGATGCTGGCATCATTGATGCTGAATTGTTCTTCCTTTTTTTTTTTTTGAACTTCTTGATGATGATTATTCATCAGGTTATGGTAGATTTCAAATCTGCTTCCCATTAAAGGAAATAAGATAATGCTATCTTCTGGAAGGGAATTTGCCTTCCTGTATTATATATTATATACTAAGAAGTCATGCATCAAGTGAGTCTAATAACTGTCCATATTATTTGAAATATATTGAAAATGGTCTATATTGCAGCAGTATTTTCACAATTCCTGGATTTGGGGTTTTTTTTTTTTTTTGCCATTATCTCACTTAGAAAACATACTAAATGCTGACATTCAGTGCTGTGGAGTCATTAAGATGAACAAGATGTGGTCCCTACTTTTGAGCAAATCTACTATGCTCATGCATTTATACAACTTCTCTTAATATAAAATGTATAAAGATGAGCAGAGTTCTGTAGGAGAACAGCAGAGGGGGAATTTTGTTTTAAGAAATGTTGGAAAGCTTAAAAGAAGCAGTAACTAGTAAGTTTGGTTTTATAGGATGAACCAAGTTTCACTAGGCAAGACAGTAGGGAACGTGTGTGTATCTACTTAGACATACATACTTATGATACACAGACAAACACTACGCATATGCATGCCCATCCATATGGCCACTATAGCAGGGACTGTTGCCTGGCGAATTTAACACTCCTTCCCGTCCCCCTCCTTCCTCAACAGCTCTACTATTGAGACTGGAAAAGCTAAATACAAATAGTTAGGGTTAGCCATGTGAAACTATCTGGCCAACTAGTATTTGGAAATATACTGAGGACTTTTTAAAACACTTTGCTTTTCATATAAGAGATAGATAAAGAGATAGATACAATTGGTATTTTTGTCTTCTATATAGCCTTTATACCAGTAACAGCCACCTTGGGATATTGAGAGAGGTCAGGAGAATGTGTTGAGGTATGATTGAGCTACAAATTTAATATTCACAACTTCCTACTTCAATACTACTTAGGTGAGGAAAATTAATTTATTTAAGCCATTGTAAGATTTTTCTATTACTTGCAGCCAAAAACATTCCAAACTAACGCAGGTATAAATTACATGCATGCATACACACACACTTTCTCTCTCTCTCTCTCTCTATCTCTTACTTGCATGTTTGTATATATAGTTAACTTTATTTTTCATGCCTAACCAAAGCTTGAGACTAATTTTAGACTTTAATTTTGGTGAAAAATAAGGAAAAGTAGAAAATGGCCTCCTTTGTTATCACTAATTTTGGCAGTATCCTCAGCACTTACTTTCCTTTGCAGCCATCTGCCATTACCTATATTTTAAATGAAAAACTGAAGGCAAGAGAAAATGATTAAGAAGAAAGATAAATGCTGAAGAGGATCATGCCAGAGGTTGAAACAGGGCAAGACTGAGAATCAGTTGGTTGTGGCCCCCAGAGCGCTGTGGTGAAGCTTACCCCGCTAGCAACAGTGCCTGGTCATATGATGGAAAGAAAAGTTTATATCTTAATCCATCACTGCATTCTTATGTATTGAGGACCAAGAATAATATTACCTATGTTCATTTTTTCTAACAGCCAAGAGATTGTTCTCTCCCCCTTACCATATCCATTTAGGAAGATGAGAGTAGAAATTATTCTTTCTCGTGAGAGATTACAACAGCTTTGGGTTGGGTGCGGTGGCTCACTCCTGTAATCCCAATACTTTGGGAGGCCAAGGCAGGCAGATCACTGGAGGCCAGAGTTTGAGACCAGCCTGGCTAACATGGTGAAATCCTGTCTCTACGAAAATACAAAAATTAGCCCAGCATGGTGGTGCGCACCTATAATCCCAGCTACTCTGGGGACTGAGGCAGGAGAATCACTTGAACCCGCGAGGCAGAGGTTGCGGTGAGCCAAGATGGCACCACTGTACTTTAGCCTGGGCAACAGAGCAAGACTCCATCTCAAAATAAATAATAAAAATAATAAAAGCTTTCCCCAGAGCCCATTGGTCTTATAGCAAAGATAACATCTAATGAGCAAGAGATCTTGGAGTCTGATCTTCCGGTACACAAATGTGGAACTATGTGAAAAACATTCAACTTGTTCTTTCTTGCAGAGACTAATATCACTCTGTTGTGGTAGCTCCCATAGCTGTCTGTGTGTTTTTTTTCTTAAATGCCCAGGCTGGAGTGCAGTGGCGCAATCCTGGTTCACTGCAACCTCTACCTCCCAGATTCAAGAGGTTTTCCTGCCTCAGCTTCCCAAGTAGCTGAGATTACAGGCACATGCCACCATGCCCAGCTACTTTTTTGTGTTTTTAATAGAGATGGGGTTTCACCATGTTGGCCAGGCTGGTTTCGAGCTCCTGACTTCAAGTCATCTGCCCGCCTTGGCCTCCCAAAGTGCTGGGATTACAGGCATAAGCCACTGCACCCAAGCTGTTTTTAACTGACTTTTGATTTTATTCACCTTCTATGTAAGGTTATTTTAGAATGTGTTCCTTACCTTAGGAGTTAGGTTACACAGCTTCAGGGAGCCTCAGTCTCGTGCCTAAAGACTGGGTGAAAGTCAAGGATATTTCAGAAAGAAAAGTCAATGGGATAGTTGGAATTTGCACCAAAGTCAGTTATCATTTACTCTCTGATTTTAAAACATATATACACTTCAATTTTTTGTTTTTAAAGAATATGAACTGATATTTTTCTTAAATTTTCTACCACTAATTTTTTCCAGAATCTTCAGCTACTTGGAGCAACAGCCATTGAGGATAAATTACAAGATCAAGTTCCTGAAACCATAGAAACGCTAATGAAAGCAGACATTAAAATCTGGATCCTTACAGGGGACAAGCAAGAAACTGCCATTAACATCGGTAATTCACCTAATTTAAGTTTTACATGTTGGTACTTTTTAATAAGTTGATATATTTTAGAAGATGGATTTGAGACGTTTCAAGATTCAAAAGATTTGATGTGTCAAAATTAGAATATTCCAATCTTTTTTCACCTTTGCATCTCTACCTCCCACATGTTCCATCCATAAGTGGTGTATGTGGATAACATTTCTGCAGTTGTCTGGAGATTGGGCTTATGGGAGATTTATGTATTGATACTTGATTATATGACCAAAGATTATTTTAAGATAATAGGAAAGAAGAAGGTTGCCAGTTTGCATTCATATTATGTTAATTCCCATTTTTTGGAAAGAGTTTATAATAGTTCGGGCTGCCATAAGGGAATACCACACACTGGGTGGTTTAGACAACAGAAATTTATTTTTACAGAGCTCTGGAAGCTAGAAGTTCAAGATCCAGGTGCTTGCAGGGTTGTTTTCTGATAAGGCCTCTCTCTTCCTCCTAAGAGACATAAGGAGTAGTATAAGACACCTAAGATACCAGTCCTATTGCACTAGAGAGCTGTCTTATTCCGTTCTGGCTGCCATAACAAAATACCATAAGCTGGGTGCCTTATAAACAACAGAAATTTATATCTCATTGCTCTGGAGGCTGAGAAGCGCAAGGTTAAGGCACCAGCAGATTTGGTGTCTGATGGGCGCTGGCTTTCTACTTCATAGACAGCACCTTCTAACTGTGTTCTCATAAGGTGGAAGGGGCAAAGCAGCCCTCTGAGGCCTCTTTTATAAGGGGCACTAATTCTATTCATGAGCTTCCTGCTCTCATGATCTAATCACCTCCCAAAGACCCCTACCTCCTACTGTCACCATACTAGTGATTGGATTTCAGCAGTTTTGGGAGAACACAAACATTCAGACCATAGCAGGCCTCACCCTTATGGGCTCATTTAACCCTAATTACCTCAATTAAGACTCAATGTCCAAATGTAGTCACACTGGCAGTTAGGCGTTCCACATAGGAATTGGAATGAGTGGTAGTGGGGAGAGCAATTGAGTCCCGAACAGAGGTCCTACATTGAAGAAAGTTATTTGGCGTTGGAAGCCTGTAGTACCAGCAGTATGCCAAAAAAAAAAAGTTTTTTCCCCAAATTTAGTAAAAATTGGTAGCTTGAGCACTATAAACCCTGACATAGATTTATCCTCTTGATAATAATCATATATATTACATTCAAAACTTCACCCAAGTTGAAGGAACTATTTTAAGGGAGTTCACAGCATGGGACCACATTTTTAAAAGTCATTTAAAAATACTCCATATTTTTAAAAATTTAAATTTTTAGGAAGAGGCATAAGAAGTAGTATACAGAAGAGGAACCACGCCAGGACAGCCAGGCAGAGAGGATTTCCCAGAAAACAACCCTGAAGACACCTCGATCTAAAAATTAAAAAATTTAGCTAATATTTTAGAAGTTTAACTGTCAGCCTAATGTATCCTGTAAATATAAAACTCTACTTCAAATTTATAGCAAATTCATGTTATTAATAGAAAATCCATTTTGTTTTTTTAAACTAGCAGAACTTTACAAACCACACAAGTTGTTAATTCTGATTACAAAAATTACTGCTCTTATTGGAGACAATGGAAAGATGTATGAGAAGGAAAATAATTGTGAAATGCAGACTGTGTTGCAATTGGGAGACCTAAAAACACAAATATGATAGAACAGTAAGATGAGAAATAACAATATATGGCAATAGAGGGTGATACGTGTGGAATATAGGCAGTTACTGGTACTAGTAGTTCAGGATATGTTAACTATTATGAGTGTTCCTATGAAAAAAGAGTATGGTAGTGATTTCTGGTAACATTTAACATTTAGAATCTTGAGCCATTATTGGTTCCTAGAAAAAGGTAGGTAAGATTCACCCATTCAGCATAATTACAGTACCTATAGTTCCATGTACTGGTTAAGTGCAAGGAACAGAGCAGGGAACAAAAGAAACCAAAATCTCTGCCTTTATGGAGCTCAGACACTAGTCAGTGAAACACACAATAAAATAAATTAGAAATGTGCATAGTATAATATCAATGATTGCTATAGAGAAAACTAAAATGGGAGTGAAACATGGGGCATTGCACAGAGGGATTTAGTTGGTTGGTTGGTTGGTTGGTTTTTGGTTTTTTTTTTTAGACAGTCTCTCTCTGTCACCCAGGCTGGAGTGCAGTGGCGCAATCTTAGCATACTACAACCTCTGCCTTCCGGGTTCAAGGGATTCTCCTGCCTCAGCCTCCTGAGTAGCTGGGACTACAGGCACCTGCCACCATGCCCAGCTAATTTTTTGTATTTTTAGTAGAGACGGGGTTTCATTGTGTTAGCCAGGATGGTCTCAATCTCCTGACCTCGTGATCCACCCATCTTGGCCTCTCAAAGTGGGGATTCTGTTTTAAATAACAAAGTCAGGAAGAACTTATTGAGAAAGTGACATCTGAGGAACCATCGAAAATAGGAGAAGGAGCCTTGTCACATGATGATTAGAGAAAAGCCGTCTCCTGTTACAGAGAGAAACAGCACAGAAGCAGAAGGAAGACTAGCAGTAGAAGAGGTCTTCAGTGTAGCAGTGTCCAGGCTGAATGAGGCCTCTCAGGCCACTGTCAGGACTTAGCATTTACTCCAAGTAAACAGGGAAATGACGTGATGGTTCTCAGCAAAGGAAAGACATGCTGTGACTTACCTGTAAAAACAGTCATTCTGGCTGCTAGGCTGAAAATGGACTCAGTGGGAAGCAAGTGTGGAACAGTGAAGAGGCTATGGCATTAATCCAGGGGAAATATGATGGTGGCTTGGACCAAGGTGGTAACAGGGGAAATGGTAAGAAGTGGTTGGGTTCTTGATGTGTTTTAATGGTAAGAAGTGGTTGGATTCTTGATGTGTTTTAAAGGTAGAAACAACAAGATTGACTGATAGATGTAGAGTATGAGAGAAAGAAATAGACCAGGTAACTCCAAGATTTTTTGGCCTTAGCATCTGAAGAATGAAGTTACCATTAACCCAAATGATGAAAACCGAAGGGAAAGTAGGTTTTCTTAGTGGGGGCTGGGGGTTCAGGAGCCTGGTTTTTCTGAGTTTGAGGTGATGAAAACGCCTACTTCCTACCTAAGTGTCTGCAGTTAAGTAAGCATTTGGACATGTGAGTCTGGAGTTCAGGAAAGAGGGCTGAGTGGAACATAGGAGTTTCAAAATGGACAGCATTTAGATGATATATGAAATCGTGAGATGGAATGAGATCACCAAGGAAGTGTGAGTATAGATGGAATTATTTTAAACAGGATGGTATTTTTGAAATGTGTTATCAGCAGAGTTGCCTCCTCTTCTCTAGACAAAGTCAGCTGTAGCAAACAGGTACCGAGTAGGCCAAGTTGGATTTAACAAAGGGGGGATTTTGCCCTGCAGTAAGTACAACAAAGCAAGAGATGGAAGAGGAAAGTAGAGGATGTAATGATTCTCCCAGGAAGGGAACGGTGATGGGATCCGTGGATCCAAGCAACAGCCACCTGCACCCTTCCCTGGGTGTCTAGAGAGGGGTTCTATTGTTCTGTTTTCTAGAAACTATCATTGGCCTATCGTTTGCTCTTCATGTTGGTCATCATGAAGGGCATTACATATCCATTTATCAGCTTTCAGGACATCAAGAATCATTACCACCATCTCTTTACAGATGTCTTTGTAGCGTTAACAGGCCAGACAGACATACTTGTTGCATATCCCTCCTATGGCAAGCAAGAGCATTTCAAGCTTCCTACAAACCTGTTAAACAACTGATTGCCCTCAGTCCTTATAAAATCATCTTTAGATATTTTTCATAGTATATATCATTGCGTTAACATCTTTGCATATTCTCTGGAGAAATTATATCAATTAATATATTCTATGTTTGGATATAGGACACTCCTGCAAACTGTTGAAGAAGAACATGGGAATGATTGTTATAAATGAAGGCTCTCTTGATGTAAGTAAAATTATGTATTTTTAAAACTCCTTTAATAATATAGTCATGTTATAGTGTTTTACTTTATATTCAGATAGCTGTGGAAATATTTTATCTTCCTGAGGTTCAAAGGTAACTTATCACTGTTGTTCTGCTTTAACATAATGTACTGTGTTTTGAATCACATGGATATAAATTGATTCAAGACTTACATCTGTGACAGCTAAAAGAAATTGTGAAATGATTTGCGTAATATTGTGAGACAGAAAAGTTGTTTGACAAAAGCATTATGTCAAGACGTTGCTGAGTGACTGCAACATGTTCATATCTGAGCATTCTGTATATTAAACATTTTATATCTGCTTTAACTTCCAGTGTTAATATATATTTTAACTCTTTAAAAAAACATGTGAAAGCTATTGAACAACACAAAACAACCATTCCGAGTAGGACAGACTTTCTTTTAATGTCCTAACTTCTGGAATGAAATATAAATTCCTAGGATGTCTTTTTTCGTGGTTGTAATCACTGGATGTTCTATTTGGGAAATGAGGAAAGATTTGTTAGGAATACAGTGTAAAATAGAAGTTAGCAAAATAATATGTAGGTCAAGTTACCTGTTAACATTTTAAAGTAAAGGAGACTATTTGTAATTTTAGGTGGAAGACAGAGCAGTAGAGGTGATTCTACAACTTCTTAAAATAGTCATTATGATGCAAAGAACAGAGAAAACCTTGGTAATTAGGGATATTGGTGAAGCTAAGAGGCCACATGCTTGGAAGGGGTGGTGAAGCCGTGACTGCAGAGGGATGGATGGTGTTTATGTTTCATCAGTAATGTGGGTTACATGTGGGGCACAGTTTTTCTTAAACCTGAAGGAAATCAGAGATAGGACCTTTGATGCGGAAGCAAAAGCAGAGCAAGCCACGCCCCATTTTACACAGTACCCTTTCTGTCTGGCTTTGGGCATTTACCTTCCATAGCATATGGTAGCCTTGCTTCTTTTATCTTATTCTTTGCTGTCGTATTTCTCCAGTTCTTGGATAAGCATGTTCTTTAAGTGTTTTAGGTATCAGGTACTATGAATAGTAATCTCAAAAAAAAAATAGAGACGTGAAATACCAAAATTACCCATAGTACTGTATCAAGTGTATTGTTAAGACGGTGGCATTTGTTTTCATTTTGAGGTTTCTAAGGTAGAAATTAATAAGCACTTCAAAGGTACCTTGACGACCTGTTTCTACCAGAGCAAACATTGATGGGAGTCTCAAGTTGAATAATGAATTTCAATAAAAGCAGGAACTGTGTCTGTCTGTTCTGGTTTATCATTCTTTTTCAGTGCCCTGCAAATGGCCTAACACATAGTAAGTGCACTGTAAATATATGAGAAGTGAGTCACTGAGTAATTTTTAATTAAGGGCTTCTTTTTAAAAAAAGTTGTATATCAGTTTTAAAATTGGTTGTCATTGACCGTATCTGATATTTTTTAAGTAAAGTGCCTAAAAATCTCCTTAGCAGTTCAAGTAGCAGTTTAAAGATCACAGGCAAACACTATGGCTGAATGGATTAACACTAATTTGTCCTGCTCCAGACTGCCAGGCATTCTAACACTGCTGTCTGGGGAAGGCTTTTCTCCCGGGGAGTTAAGTGGTGACTTTACAAATCTGACTGTTTAGGGTCAGGCCTGCTGCGGTGCACTCATTTGTTTCTCAGCAGGAAAGGAAACATCACTTTGCATAGCTCCTTCCGATCTTGTGTCATAAAACCCATGGCTGAGATTACAGGCAAACCATTAGATGTGCTAGAATGCCTGTAGGTAAATCATTATTTTTTTTCATTGATATGGAAAAGAAAAGCATCCAATCTGGGTTCAAATTGTACTGATCAGTAATGAATAGAATTATCATTTTATCTGCACAAAGAATAATTAGCATTTAAGTAATAAACTTAGCAATATAATGTCTTAGGGAATAAATTGTGAATGTGTGTTTTGTCACGTGACAATTTCAATGAGTGTACTCGAATCACTCTGTGAAATAGCACAGGGTGAAGAGCACAGTTCTGTCCCAATCTAACTGTGGGACCCTTAGCAAATTAAAATCAGCTTCTCTGAGCCAGTTTGGCTGCCTAGAAAGTAAGGAGAATGTAACCTTTGGCATATGATTGGCATGGTTAACACAGTACAGAGCACAGGTAAAAAAGGAGATGTTATAAAATTTTGTAGAAAGAATATTACTTCAATAGCTTGCAAGTTGTTTAGCATAGTGATCATTTTTGTTATAAAAATATACTATTTCCCCATCTTTTACTTTTTTCCCTAAGGTTGCAAGTTATAACTGTAAGTTCTCTTTCACATAAATGATACATAATGAGCATTTTTCTGTTCAAATTTTCTACTAAAATATGTTTCTAAAGCTGATAAAATTCAAAAGCTGAATCTCTTTCTCTTGTTTTGAACTTTTACAATTTATCATATTTGAAGTTCTTAAAATTTCAGATAGAAAACCCTTCCTCCTAGTGACCATGGTAATGGAAATCTTTGTCTTCCATAATCTAGATAACCAAAGAAATTCCATTGGGCTAATTTTTTTTTTTTTTTTGAGTTTCAATATGAGTGTCCTTCTTTAAAAAAAAAAAATAGCTCTTCAGCATTTTTTAAAACATTTAAATAAATACATAAGACCAAACTACAGTTGAAAATGCAGTCATATGGAAGTCTCGCTCCATAGACCTGATATGGAAACCTGACAGGTCTTTCTGCCTTGGTTCATTCTTGACTCCTTTCATAGCAAGAGCAGCAGCCCCAGCTAGAATGTTGTCCACAAGCAAAGCCAGGCGTTCTCACCCAGTCTCTTGTAAATTGCCAGTATCAGCAAAAGAGTTGGGCAGAAAGTTTGATTTTTATGTATTTATTTTTTTGAAAAAAAATCATGGGTAAATAATTAAGAATCATCTAAAGTTGATCAAAACCTATTAGGTATTTGTGATAAATAATTTTTAAAGAACTTTCTGTAGTACTACTTTGAGCTACTTTTTGAACTACTTTATTAGGAGTTCTGATTGTGTTCTCAACATAAATCTTTTTTTTTTTGAAAGGGAATCTCATTCTTGTCGAGGCTGAAGTGTAATGGCACGATATCAGCTCACTGCAACCTCTGCTTACAGGGTTCAAGCAATTCTTCTGACTCTGCCTCTTGAGTAGCTGGGATCACATGTGTGCTCCACCACACCCGGCTACTTTTTATATTTTTAGTAGTGACAGGGTTTCACCATGTTGGCCAGGCTGGTCTCAAACTCCTGACCTCAACTGATCCGCCCACCTTGGCTTCCCAAAGTGCTGGGATTACAGGCGTGAGCCTTCGCGCCCAGCTGAGACATATCTTTAAGCATCTGAAAAAGCAGAATTTTCAAAATACTAACTTGAAGGGGGAACATTTTACTTCTCTAACTCCACAGCACTGCCCAGGAAATATTCCAAACTTCCAATTAATGATAAACCCTTATACCTAGTGATACTTTTGCATCTGTTTTATAACTTTTACTTTGTTGTCATTTTTTAAGCTCTGTTAAATCCAGAAACATCTAGAATGTGAGCTAAGTGCTAGAGAATCTCATGCTGTGGCCCATCTTTGGCTCCCAATTTCTAACTAAACTTTCAAAATGCACTGAAACAGTTCTCAAAGGATTGGTTTTATGTGGTATTATTTATATCCTCCATGGCACAACAACTCTGAATCTCTGGAAATACTTTCAGGCAACTTAACATATTATATTTTTTAATAGGTTTGGATTAAGTTTCCTCTTATGGGAGAAAAATTTTGAAGACATGTTTCATTGAGATACTTGGGATTGCACCACCATTTCATCTAAATTCAGAATGGGTGGGAGGGACCATCATTTCTTGAGCCATTAACTGTGTGACTTAAAGAGATTTTTTTAGTGGTATCAAAATTGTCTGTCTTGAGTCTCTCGTGATATACCCTTAACCTTGGTCTCTCCTCCTTCTGGCATCTCTTTTATATGAGGAATTGTGGGATCTGTCCCCAGAGGTAGAGCTACATCTCAAATCCATTTTTTCTGTTTTTCAGCCTCCTTTGTATAGTGCCAGGCTTTCCTAGAAAACAAAAAAGAGGTAGAAAGGGAAAATAGACACTATTCATTAAATCAATAGGCATGATGTTTGGAGACATAAATTTCCTACCCTCATAAGCTTCTGGTCGGTGTTCCCAAGCTGCTTCACTCCTGAGAAGCCCTGCCCACCTCTGCCTTGGATCATTGGATCACCCTTTCTAGATTGCCTCTCCAGTTGTTGATGTTCACCTTCAGCCTTATCAGGAGCTGCCACCTAATGCATGGGAAGTCGTGTTTGGATCCCGCAGGAAAATGCAACTTTCTGACTTTTGCAGGAAGAGACCTCTGCTACCTCTACAGGGTTCTACGTGTTGCTGTTAGAGTCATAACAAATGCAACAGCTTACATTTGTTATGTGCTTATTATTTTGTACCAGGTAGTGGACTATGGACTTTACAGGGACAATCACATTTATACCTGAAACAATTTATATGTTATAGGCAGATACTATTATGCCCATTTTACAGATAAGGAATCTAGAAAGGATAACTGGACCAAACACACATAGCTCAGCGGCACTGGGGCGTATATCTAAGGCATTTGATTCCAGAGTGAGGGAAGCAAATAGGTTTTTCTAGCCTTCATCTACTACATTTGTAAAACAAGAGTAATGAAATGTCCATCTCATTTAGAGGTGGGGTTGTGAGAATTAAAGACAACAATACCTGTCAAGTAGTTAGAAACAGTGCTAGACATCATCACCGTTATCTCTTTAGTATTACTTCTAGAGGAGAGTTCTTCACTGCTAGCTGCTGTAACAGATGCCCTGCTCTTAAATTACGTAAAGTTCTCTGCTTAATTTGAGAATATGACCCCAAACCAGTTATAGGTTTGATTATGGATACCAATGTTTTACTTCACTTACATATATTAAAGAAAATGAATTGTTA